GAGGAGCTACTTTTCTGCTTTAGTTTAGAAGGTTAAATGCAATGGAAAATAAAAAAAGGCAAAATCTTCTCTGATGAAAATAAAGGAATGCACAACTTTTTATGCTTTGTGATGTGTTTTGCAAAAGAATCACTTCTTTTTTTCTTCTTTAATTTTGGTAATACCCAACATTCTTATCTCTTACAATGTAAAGCATTATATATTATGAAGTTGCATGAATAAGGGTTCGTACTAAATGGTTTGGACATTATACAAGAATATCTATATATCTAACTAATGATAGAAAAAGAAAAAAAAAAAGAAAATAGAAATAAAAAAGATGATGATGTTGCCTTAGAAATGCTCAAAAGGTGAGTATTAGTAACTTTATTAAATTTTAAGAATCTGAAACTCTAAAGAATAAGGGAATGTAAGGCTATACCTTTACAAAAGAAAGATTAATTTAGGAGGTTTAAGGGAATTAGGGCGAAGAAGAAAAGGAAATTGTAAAATTTTATATATTCTACTCTAATATTCTTTGCCTTTTTCAAATACTTATGGACTAAGGCTATATAGGTGTAAAGTGGTGTTTAGCTAATGAAATAAAGTTGTATTTTTTGATAGAGAGGAACATCCATGACAAACTTCCCATTTCACGAGCCTTTTGCTAATTAATTTGTAATTAATAAACAAATATAATTACAAAACCCCAATTTAATTTGCCCTAATTTTGCGATTACAATCGTTTTTCATCATCATTTTGTGTATAAGGATGACTAACTCGTAGCTAGTTTTATTACATCTTCAATGGTTGTATTTTTTTTTTCTATTACACCAGTTAATATTAATATGAATGATGTTAATTACTACTTACTTTTCAAATACAGATGTTATATATCATACTATGAAATCAACATAGTTAGTAACATTAATTACATATCAATTGGTGGGGATTATAGTTCGTATTAATTTTTTCATTATTTATTTTTTATTTTTTCAAATGATCAGTCGCTTGAAACAAGAAAGTACATACGAATTTTATTCTTCAAACATTCAAAATAGTTATTGGCCAAATCTCTACTGTTAAACGAAGAAACTACTCGTCAGTTCGAGTTTGTTTTAAAATTCGCTTTGTTAGTTTTACTTCTTATAACTTGAAAGTATTTTTACGTAATTTTTGATTTTTTTTTTCTTACCTAGGCTCGTTAAAGTTAAAGTTCGGCTCAGTAATATTAATAAACGAGCTTAGCTCTAACTTATTTAAATAAATGAGCCAAGCCTCTGAGTATCAGAAGTTATGAGCTCGACTCAGCTCGACTCTGCTCATTTATATCTCTAATTAGAACATTTAATTTTAACTCAAAACTCTCGTTATCAAACTCAACCATCTTGAATTAGTTGTTAGCCTTGTAAACCTTAGGTGAGTGAGTGTACTTTCACCACTTTACGCGTGTCCTAATTTCTAAAGGAGACAACACAATATGAAACTATTTAATTTACTTTAATTTATATCATTTTTGGCAAAACTTTAATGAATGTATACCCAATAATTTGATGTATTGCATATGTGTACAATATTTTTTGAATGCATATGGAATCTAGCTAATTTTCCCTCAAAAGCAGGAAGCTAAGAAGATACTCTCCATCATGACTTTAATAAGATTAAATAAGTGTTACACATGGCCACCACTAAGCATGCAATTCAAAAGAGAGAAAAGGAGAGGGAAAAAATGTTTTGTTGAGCTTATCTAAATATATGTTTTGTGTGGCTAATATGATCTTCTTAGCATTCAAACAACAAAAAAGATTAAAAAAAAAAAAAAGATTTAATATAGACAGGTAAATCAGTTTGGCTTAGGAGATCGGTTCAAATCTTGATTCGAAAGGATGAGAATACAAATCGATTCTAGAAAAGTTGAAGAATTGTGTTGGTGCTACACAAAACCTAAGTAGTAAATAGCATTACACAAGAGCAAATATTCTCAGCTCAATTACACAAAATTATGGGTCAGGTTGATTAAATTTCCAAAAAGAGAAATCCAAACTACCTTTCAAAACGTTCAATTTTAGCCCAAGTCCCATAAGCCCATAAATGATGGATTTTCTGATGTTGCAGATCAAACCAGCAATAATGGGCTTAAGGCCCAATTATAACCCCCTACAAACAATACAAATTGAGTCGCATTAAAAGATGTCATTTTCCAAATTAATCAGTTACGATAATGAAAGAGACTCAATACCAGTAAAGGGATAAAGTCACATGCAGCTTGCTCGAATAAACCAACTCCAGTTGTCATAATATATAACCAACTTATTTCTTGTTTTTACTAACTGCATTAAAAGATTAAAATTGCAATTTTAGTATGGTATGTTTCACTACCCTAATTTTTCGTCTTCTTCGAATTTTTTTTTTATTTCCGTTCCATATGTTTGTAAAAAGGTTACAAAAAGGTCATTTTCATACATAAGGGACAAAATTTGAACATTTTTTTGCAACACATAAAGAACCTTTTTGTTGCGGAAAAGATATTTTTGTAACCTTTCTGCAAACATACGGGATGAAAATAAAAAAACGCACTTCGAAGAGGACGAAAAAATTAGTAGTGAAACATACAAAACTAAAATTACAATTTACTCTAATTAAAATAATATGTAGTGAGTGTGTAATATATTTATGACATGCGTCATATTTACGTGCATTTTATAGTAATTTTCGTGTCCGTTTCGTCGTAATTTAATATATAATTAGTTATTATTTAATTAATTATTATACAATTATTTATATATCTAATTAAGATGGAGCAACCGCGCGCCGCTGTCCGTTTGCCGGGAAGCTCTGCGGAACCTCATGTCTGTTGCCGGAAAAACGGCTGGAAAATGCCATGTCCGACGACCTGGAACACGTACGATCACCCGAGGTTATCTGGGATGCCGGAGGAGACCTTTACGTAATCAGAAGCTGAAAGCCACGCTGAAAACGAGCCATTTTTGGTGCCCAGACTTACACGGGTCGTGTGGCGTAAGACACGAGTCGTGTCGTTCCGACGGGTCGCGAATCGAGCTCTCGACATTTTCACACAACTCGTGTGACCTATGACACGAGTCGTGTGACCCTGGGCGCAACCAATACGCGTTTTACGCGTTTTTCCTTTTTTTTCTGTTTTTTCGACCTATTTCGACTAGGACTCGACCTCAACTATATATACAATCCTTGGACACGTTTTTTGGGAGTCTTGGACATATTTTGGAGACCTTTGGAGGCTAGAAACACGAGCAAGACGCGGGAAAATCCGGGAAGAGGAGATCGACGGAGCCGAATAAGCTTTTTCTTTCTTTTTCTTTTCCTCTTTCGAACTCAATGTTTTATATTTATTTTTCTTATTTTGAAAGCATGTGTCTAGACTAGATTTATATTAGATTCTAGGATTTGTTAGTAATCGGATTAATTTATGATTTAGTTTTTATTTCTTTTATTCCGGTTTATCTTTCGTTTATAAATTTCTTGTGCTTATTATTATTGTGTGAGGAGATGACCACTATGAATGCATATTTGTGATCGATTTGAGAACGAGGGGAGATAATTGATTGCTAGAATTGGGAGATTTATAACATAAGAGAATAAATAGACCGAGAGGTTGATAGGACCTTACGAGAGAATGAAAATCCTAGGAACTTATGGGAGTTAGTTGTTTATCTTGAGACCGAGAGGAGATAGATAACAATTAATATCTACGATTTAACTTGTTCGAGAGAAAGGTTTGAAATCAATTTAACGATTATCTCTATGATTGGTAAAATTAAATAAGGTTTGTTTGAATATAAACATTTCATGAATTAATTCCGAGGAACGCTTAGCCTAGAATCTAACGTTTGTATCTTGTTTTATTTTTATGTTATTAGGTAAATTAGTTCTTAGCTTAATTTATTAGTTAATACTCATCATCCAAATTCGCTAGTCTAGATAATATTTAATCGTCACTATTTTAGTACTTAATTAATTTAACTACAATCTCTGTGGAATACGACCTTGCTCGCCACTACCTATAGCTACTCCTTACACTTGCGGATAGCGAAAATTATTAGCGAACAGTTTATACCATTTATCGAAATGTTCGTTTATTTATAATAAAAGTAAGTGGCTTGTGTTTTAGAGGTATAAACGAGTCAAGTCGAGCTCAAACTTCTAATAACTACGGTAGACTCAAGCCTTTTATCAATCAAGAGCTTGACTAAACAAGCCTATAAATGAGCTCATACTGAATTTGTTTATCTATATTAATAAGTCGAATGCGAGTTATACAAATAAAAATTGAGCCGATGTAAAGTAAAAATTCAAAAATTTACATAAAATCCCTATTATCGATTCATAACTAATAGAGATCGAACTCGTTCAACTCAACTTGTTAAGTAAATAAGCATATAAACAAGCTCGAATTTAACTGGTTAATCCATATCAATAAGCTAAGCTCAAACCTTAATGGATCCAAATCGAACCTAACTAGTAAAAAAAAATTACTTTTAACCATTATTTTCGAATCGAACTCGAGCTTTTCTGTAAACGAGTTCAATGTTCAAACTCAGATTGTTAATCAAACTCAAACTTTAAGGAGTTGAACTCACGAACAATTAACTCTAACAATATTACATTATTTTGAAGAAAGTAAAAATATTTTAGTATATGCTAGAAAAATAAAAGAAAATTGAAACTGTACAAGTGTACATGTCAATCATGTAATACACATCTCCACCACGCGCCACGAGGCACCCTCCACCTCACTTCAAATTCTCATGAACTTATCCGTTACGACTTACTACTACTGTCACTCCTCTACCGTTGTGTAAAAAAACATTTTAATTTTACATTCTTTTTCCTCTCTTCATTACTCCTTTAAAAAAAATAATAACTAAAATCAATATATAAATATAAATAATTTAGTTATAATTTTATTTAATTGTCACTTGTTTCTCTACAGAATTCCTTTCCCCTTCTGCCCTGACCACCCACAGAAAAACCAACCAAAATGACGACCGCCGGCGGCGGAGCAACCAAGCTCGCCACTGCGCTCATCGTAATCCTCTCAATCGCACTGCTCGCGCTCCTCGCCGAGCTCCTATACCTCCTACGGCGCCGCCGCCGCAAGGCCGGTCAGGTCCCCGCCGCCGGAGACGACGAAATTTCTCAGATCTCAGCGGATTCCTCCCTCTCCTCGTTCGCCGCTTCCAAGGACCTGCTCTACCTCCTCTGCGCGCGGCCGCCGCCGCAGTTCCGTGTCGAGCGCAACTCCGCCACCGCCGCCGATTCCGATCTCCGGCCGGATTTAGAGGCTATCGACTTCGATCTTGTGAAGATTCACGGCGTGTTCGGCCCGCCGAGGTTCCTTTTCACGATCATGGAGGAGGAGAGGGAGGATCTGGAGCCCCCGGCCGGAAAACACGGCGGGCGAGAAATTCGGGGCGCCGCCGCGCGCAGGGTGAGCTTAGAGGACCATTTCAGGGCGGCGGCGCTGGATGAGGAGGATAAAGAGACGGTGGCTCCGGAGATGGTGGTGGATATTGACGGTGCCGGAGTCGACGACACGACGCCGTTCTCAACGCCCTGCGCATCACCGGTGTATTTCACGCCGCCGGCCTCGCCGGCTCACGGGTCGGTCAACGGACGGACAACGCAAGGGAGATTGATGACGTCAGGCATAGAGCAGCACCGACTGCATGGGCAGAAGCGTAATTTTGAAGTCGCAACAACCGTTGCCGTTTGATATTTCTTGTTAGTTTGCATCGATTTTCTTTGGGGTTTTTTTCTAGCTGACGTGGAACATTAGCACTCAGCCACGTAGCATTGTGTATACCGTTTTTAGAGAATTTTATTTTATTTTATGAACNTTTTTTTTCCAAACGATATCACAATCTCATACCAACTGATAAGAAAATACAGAGTCGAAGAGCTCACTAGCTCTTATAAGTCCATACAAACTGGGAGAACCACACCACATGGTGGTCTACAAACAAAAAATACAGCGCACTGAAGGCAAATACAAAGATTTGAAACCTTAGTACAAAGCGAACACCCACATAACACGGACATACAAATACACAGAAAAACACTACTAAAAAAGGAGGCCACTGAACATAAGAACCTAACCTCCACAAACACAACAAACTAAGAACCGAACAAACAGAATTCAGACCATTCATTTGAAGCTTGTCGCATGATCACAGTCTCCGGCATCCATAGCTTTTGAAACACCCATAAATTTCGCGATTTCCAGAGCCACCATAAAATGTACGTAGATAATTGTATTCGGGCTTCGGACACTGGAGAGTTGTCAACTTCTACCACAGTCCACCACCATCTTCTAAAGTTAGTAGTAGGCACTGTTGTAGGATCCCAAAACACTGGTGCTATTTTCCAAACCTGGGCAGCCCTTTTGCATGAAAACAGTATGTGCTCCACTGTTTCTTGTTGCTCTCCACAGCATTGACATATGGTGTCTAACTGTACCCCTCTGCTCACAAGATTTGCACTCACAGGCAGGCTATTTGTAAAGCATCTCCATACAAAATGTTTGATTTTGCCTTTTACTTTTAAATTCCAGCATCTCATTCTTGCCTTTTTGTCCTGAAGAGCATTTGAACTACTGCAAGGCCAGTCCATCCTCAATAATTTCCCTTTGAGTGCAGCTGAATAAGCAGAGCTCACTGTAAACTTCCCTTTTGGATCTGCAGCCCACACCCATCTATCCTTTTCAGCTGGATTCAAGTCCTTCATTTTCAGTATAGCATTACAGGATTCTTCAGTGAAGAGAGACTGAATCAAACTCCTATTCCATGATCTTCCATCAACATACATTAATTCTTTAACCCAAGTCAGTTGTAAGCTTGACACTTCAGATTTAAGAGCAGGTATACCTGTTGGAAGATCAATCACCCATGGATGAGCTAGGATTTTTGTATTCAAACCATCTCTGACTGTCCTTCTGATGTCCTTTCTATAGATTGATAGGACTTTCACCCATGATTTCCAGAGCCAAGAGGCTGACTGGTTAGGTTTTGCATCCAACACAGATCCAGCTGGAAAATATTTCTCCTTCATCACTCTTGTCATCAAAGAATTTGGCTTTGTCAGCAACCTCCAAATCTGTTTCATTATCAGAGAGTCATTAAAAATTCTGATATCCTTGAACCCCAATCCTCCAGAACCCTTTGGTACAGTGATTTTGTGCCAGGCAACCCAACTAATACCTCTCCTCTGATCATCTCCACCAGACCACCAGAATGCTGCACTCAAGCTGGCTATTTTTTTGCATATGCTGACAGGTAGACAGAAGCATGACATCACAAAGATAGGAAGGGCATTCACCACAGCTTTTAAGAGTACTTCCTTCCCTGCTGTTGAAAGGAATCTGTTTTTCCAGCTAATGAGCTTTTGCTTAACTGCATCAGTCACAAACTTAAACACTTCTTTTTTTGCTTTCCCCACACCCATAGGCAAGCCAAGGTATCTAGTTGAATGGCAGCTTTCAATACCCTGCAAACTTTGGCACACAGAGAATTTGGTGGAGGCATTAGTATTTCTACTAAAGAACACAGAAGACTTAGATAGATTCACCCTCTGGCCAGTGAAATTTTGGTATACAGCTAATACCCTTAACAATTCCCTAGCATTTTGAACATCTGCAGCACAGAACATAAGGGTATCATCCGCAAAAAGAAGATGAGATAGAGTAGTTCCTCCCCTGACAATTTTCAGCCCTTGCATTCTATTATCTGTCACAGCTGCTCTAATTAATCTGGAAAGCACCTCAGAGATAAGAATGAAAAGATAAGGGGACAAGGGGTCCCCTTGTCTAATGCCACGAGAAGGAGTCACAAAACCTGAGACTTTGCCATTAACATTGAAAGAATAAGCAGCAGATGATAGACAAGCAAAAACCCACTGCACAAAACACCTATGAAAGCCCATCTGTAACATAGTTTTCACCACACTGTTCCACTCGACACGATCATATGCTTTCATCATGTCTAATTTCACTGCCATAAAACATTTCTGCCCTGATCTGTGTCTATTCAAAAAATGAACCACTTCATGAGCTAGTACCACATTGTCCAATAACTGTCTCTCTGGGATAAAGGCTGCCTGAGTCTCATGAATACAGTGATTTAGAACCATGCTTATTAGATTGTGATTTATTAAGCCTATTTTGAGCTATACTTTAAGCTCAAACTTGTTATACTTTAGCTCTGTGTTATCGAGCCGATATGTGAACTAAACGAGTTGATCAACAATATGTGGTAGACTTGTTTATTAATATTAACGAGCGAGTTAGAGATGTAAATGAAACGAGTCAAGTTTGAGCTTTTAATACTTACTCTTGGGCTTGTTAACAAAACAAGCTCAAATTTGTCTCGTTTATCATTATTAACAAGTTGAGACTAGTACGTCCTTTTCTAGAAGACGTGGTTACAAACTCGAATATCGTGAAAAGGGATTAAGCAAAGATGATGCTCAACTCGGTTTCCGTCTCACAATATCCATGGATAGTTGTCCTAGTGGTTTTTGTCTGTTAAACAAAAATAAACACTCGTGAACTCGACCCGTTTGATAAATGAATCGACATCGAGCTCGTCTAAATTTTGTTTAGTTAACCATAAAGGCTCGAGCCTGATGTCGAATATCAAAAGCTCAAGGTTGGTTAGTTTACACCTCTATTAGTTGCCGGTTCATTCTTGTTGTTCTTCTGACAGTCGAGACAATTTCATTTGGTATTCTACTCAATTTTATTATCAATCGACTTCGATTTTGATGGCCAGTAAGTATGTTTTGTCCCCACTTTTACCAAACCCTCGTTTAGATTTGTTGCTTCCAAAATCTTTCGATCCCAAGCATGCTTGCTCAACAACGATGACGTGGACAATAAGTATGTTTCAGCGATATTTTGTAGACTCGAAGAACGATGCAACACAAGGGCATAAGTATACATCGGATCGAATAAAGACACCTCCTTCTGATCTGCTCCTTCATGCCTATCTCACTCCAGGCCATAGGCACGTCAGACTAGAGATGTTAAAAATATCATGCAATAATTGTTAACTTTAGTTTTTTCTCCTCCAATAGTATATTAATGTTGTTGACGTCTCTAGTACATTTCTGTAGTTAAAATAACAATCATTCAAATAATTTATTGCACAAGCTTATTGAAAATGATTCATTAACTCAAAATTCTTCGTACTAAAAAAATATTTTGTAAAATAACCATTTCTTTAATTGTTTATTAATATATCTTTCATATAAATACAAGGATTAGAAATTATATTATATTAATGTCCATGAACATTATCAGATATTCTCAAAATGGGCTCGTGTTTTTATTCTAACTCGACTCGATTTTGAATACGATTTGGCTCAAACGAGCTTTAGTTCATAAACACTTAGTTTGTTTACAACTTTATATAGGTCACTGTTAGGTTCGCTATACTTTACGGATTAAAATCGCAGCGGAAATTATACAATATAGTTATCATTTATCAAATAAATACTTAATCCGTAAGTATATATAGCGAATAAAATGATCGGCATCTTTTAAAATCACGTATAAATACGAATTTTGATTTGTAGAGAATTTCAAAAATTACTTTTAATTTTCTTGAAATAGCGACGATGAAGAAGAAATCAATTCTCGGTTATGTGGTTATCACCGTCTTCTTACTCCATAAGAGATCCAAGTGTCTCCCCTCTAATTGAGTCCACCCATTTGGATTCCGACTCCGAGAACAATTTTTTCGCTAGTAGAAATTTCTCAGTTTTCAATTAGTATAGGAATTTAATTAAAGAGAAGATTTTAATTTTATTTCTTGTTATGGGACATAATTTTTCTTATCTTCACTTTCTCAAAGTGCAAGACAATTTCTCTTTCATTTCTCAAAATGCAAGATTTCAATTCATTACCTTTATACATCACATATGTATGTATTTATACTAAAAGTTTATGTATAAAAAATATAATGTTGGGTACAACTATTTTCATATAAAACTAAAGTCTTTGCAAGACTATTCATACCCAAATTTATTAATAATAAAAATAAAAATAAATATGTAGAGTGGGTAACAACTCCCATCTATCATAATTATTTTATTTTTATTAATATTTAATCTTTAATATAAATTAAAGATTAATAATAACAAATAATTTATTAAACATTTTCAATATTATTTGTTAAAATATCTTTATCTCCCAATATAATAAAATCTCCTCTTTTTATAATCATTTTATTATTTGGATTTGAATTTTAAAATCCAACTATTAATTTAGTAATTCCAATAATTACTTAATTAATATCCAAATCCTAATTAATCAATCCAATTGATTAATTTATTTTATTTCTTTAATTGACATCTAATCGAAATTAGATTTAATTAAATAATCAAATTATTTAATTAGATTTTGTCAATTAATCCAACTATTGGAAATACCAATTTCAAAATAGTCATCATCCAAAATTTAGTGTGACCCTTTTAGGTTCACAATTAACACTAGTAGTGGGTTTACAACTCGTTTGTAATTTAAATTAATCTAATTAATTTATATTTTTGAAATTAGCTCCTTAATTTCAAGAACCCACAAATCATGGTAACACCTAGCAAGTAGCATGATCATCTAGTGTTAAGTGAAATAGCAAGTAAACCTTTTCAATTGCAAGTGCATACATGTAAAATCCTTTTGACAACTAATTTCCCGATTAAATCTTGGGCATGAATTTA